AAACTTCCTCTTTCATATATATGTGTGTGTGTGTGTGTGTGTGTATATTTTTAATATGCAACAAGATGTCCCTAAATGCTAGTGCATGTAAAACCTACCAACAGCAATCCCTGCCAATACAGGAGACACTATTATTGAGGCCATTACTCCAGTGGTAACAGCTAGATTTCTTTTGTGTTTACCATTATTTTTGCTGGTGTGGTATCGATGGAGCTAAAAATACAAAATATCACCAAGTTTAAAATTACACAGATACAATAATCACACTTTTAATGTTTGTAACAGAATTCTTTTTTATAGATGAAAGACTACCAGAGAAAATAAATTCAAAGATAGTGGAATACAACAGTGTTACATCAATAACTTATGAATATTCACAATTCTATAATAATATCTATACTGTAGAACAGTCATAAATCTAACATATATGAGGTTGTTTAATAATGTATAAATATTTAACCCTCTCGCCATGGGCTCAGTAAATTACACTGACCTCATGGCCCTAAAACGACCATCAGTTCCCACACTATAACTTTTAATATGTTTTGTGTATCCTTACAAAATTGAGCTGGCTTTCAGTAAACATCACAGCTCTTCCGTACACAAAAATTCAGATTTTTTAATTAAGTATTTTTACTAAAAATTTGTCCATGAATATGTGGAATCAGAGTTTTGACTGCTCCAAGTGCAAAGTGATTTTTCATGTTAAGATAAAAAAAATACTTTTTTCACCTGAAAATTGTCAAGTTTCATATGGATAAATCTTTCTAAAACCTCCTAAATAAATAACAAATGTTTTTTCAGTAAAGTTAATATTTTACCTGTTATTTTTAATACTCTAACTCTATATGCATTCTGTCGATTTGACTGACCTTGTAACCACCATAATAAAAAACGAAATATATCTAAATTACCTTTTTTTCTTTCTAGAATAACTGCAAATTCTAGCATAAAACTATATTAGGTTATCCTAAATAGCTCAAAGCTCGTAACAATATACACCTGTTTATACCTATGTGCATTATTGCCCTTTGATCCATGTCTAATAATTTCACCATTCAGTTGTAAATCACCCGACAAATGCATAGCTCAAGTCACTGTACTGAATTACGTAATGCACAAAATGCTTTCGAGCATACTTCGTGAAGAATTATTATTATTTTTCACTATCTTACCTTATCTAACCTAATAAGTTTTGAATTTTACGTTTTTGTTACTTTTATAATAATAAATAAAGAATATACATGAAAAACAATCAATACAGTACTTACTTATGTTCTCTTCTTTTTTCTGTCAACTGTCAATGAATGTTAAGCCTACCGTTTTTTATACTAATGGTATTATTGCATTAAATAATTTTTATTTCATTAAATAATGCACATAAAGTCACACAATAATAATATGCAGAAAGAAAACAATATCCTATAACTATCATAATTATCTGGCTTTTTAAATATGCGATAAGAGCCTTTAAAAATTTAGCTAAGCTTCTCAATGTGAATACAGCAAGAGAAACGTTTCAGCTGTAAATGAGACAGATAATACTCTTTACAGAAAACAACATAATATGTCATTTGATAGATTAAAACTTTGACTTTTGGTTATAAATAATATAGTATAAAACATCAGAAAACTATTGGGAACTTGTGAAAGAGATGATGTGACAGGTGGGTGTGGCAAGTAGATCTGATTTTCTAGTTTATGGCTCTGTAAATAAACAAGATTGAAGGCTATAAAAATTATGCTTTGCATTATTAATATTTATATGAGTAATTTACATTCAATTCTGTTCTTCTCAGAGGGGTGGTAGATAAACTAGAAAAGAGGGAAGACCTAGAGAAAATTTTTTTACAATTTTCATACTAGAGGAGATTGAGGATTTTGTTTAAGTATTTCCTTATAAAATTAAGATATAAAACTTATATAATATTAAGATTTGATTTATGCACTACATTTTGATGCCAAGATTATTTGTAGACAATAATAATAAAGTAGTTTAATTAAATTTTGAATGTGACTAAAAAACATTGTGACATGCACACTTTGACCTACCCATAGAAAGAGGGTTAATATAATTCAAGAAAACTGCATGGAATTATGCTGTATTAATCTTTACTGTAACAAATTGTTGCACTGATTTAAAATGCATTCACATTCCCTAACGCAAACCAAAAGATATACTGGATAACAGTTTTAAATCTTTCTTGTTCCATAAAGTTACTTTGATATATAATGTTATTTCTGGTGTCATTAAAAAACATTAGATTGATGTACGACACATTAATACTTACTGTTGCAGAAGAAAGTTACACTGAATGCATTATATTAATTTTTTATAATTTACAAATATTTACTTTAGTAGAATAATTTTAAACTGAATTATAATTTATTACTGTTGTCAAGTGCTCAACTGGATATCTTGGTGACTGACAGATAGCTCAAACTTGTAAAGATACAAAATTTCAAAGGTTTGGAGGTCAGTCCCTGGTACCGAGCCCCTAGTGAGAGAGTTAAGCTATAGGTTGTTCATCATAACCAAATACAATACTATGGTAAAAAGGTAGCTTATTGGCAATCAGTGGAAGTGACTTAACTAAATTTTGAATATTTTATATATTAATGTAAGCAGTGTGTAAATAGGCATAGTCATTACTGAGTTATTTGAAATAGTTTACATGTGTTAAAAGAGTTGAAAAAACAAAATGTTAGTAACTTGTTCTGTTAGGCTTTTAACATATTGTGAAAACAAGAGTAGAACATTTTTACTAACAACCATTTTGTGCTTGTTAGTGTTTATGCTATAACTTTTAATACAGTAAGCATATCTTCACGAAATTTTGCAGATTATCAGTAAACATTACAAGGCTTTCATATTCAAAATATAAGATTGTTTAAATTGAGTGTTAAGGTTTTTTAAGTAATGATTTGCTCATGAATTTTTTCTTCTTGAATGTCCAACATGCACAATAATTTTAAGATTAAAAATACTTTTATGCATCAGAAAATTGTCAAGTTTCACAAGCACAATCTTTACAACTCTCCAATAACCTCCAGATAATTACCAAACGTTTTTTGTTCAGAAAAACTTTATCTTTTATCTGTTATCTTCAATATTGTATCTCTGTTGTTTGGGTTTGGTTGATTTGACTGACCTAGTAAGCACCATAAAAAATTAGGAAACAGCTATAAATTACACTTTTATCGTTATAGTATGACTAGAACTTATAACCAGAAACCACAAATGTTTAGTCTAAATAGCTTAAATCTATCAAATTATACATATATATATATATATATTTATTAATTTTATTATATTGACCTTTCACACGTGTCTGACTAAAATTACAGAAGCTGCAATGACATGACATACGTGCACTCATATTACTGCATCAGATAGTATAAAACTGGCCTTTATAAATTGAACTGTCTTGGCTTTGTTCTAGTGGACTAGTATTTTGTAAAATACAATCACATTTCAGTTATAACACATTATAGACGTATATATATTATTACCATTTACAAACATGTTCTTAAATTTCAGTTATTTTTCTTAAAACATAGAACAGTAACTAATGAAGTATAGAAAACAATTATCTCTTCTACTTACTAACTTTATACTCATTTGCCACTTGCTGTAATTTGCTAAGCCTTGTCAAATTTCGCACATGGAGGATGTAAAACAAAATAATTTTCTAGGCTTTTTATATATGTATTTTGAAATAAAAAAATCATAAATTACTATACTAATACCATATAAATCCACTATAATTCATCAAGCTTAGTAACTAAGCTGTATTTAGGCCTAAACAAATATGATGCTAAATATAGTGATATCTCAGCAAATAAAAAAGATAGGAGGTTCTTATTTTATATTCTAGCTTGTCAATATCAATAATTTGAGTTCCTAATTCGTAAAAAAATATAGATTTTGTACTTGCACATCACAAACATCTAGTATGCACCAAAGCTGCATTCAACATACCACGTGACACAGAAAAATTGATATTTAGGTTGTTTTTTTAATGCTTACTTTTAAATTAAGGAATTAGCTAATGTATAATACTAAAATTTGAATTATAATCTACAGTTTGCTACCAAACTTATTGACATACATACATAAAATAGTAGTTCAATAAAATTTTGAATGTAAGTTTACAAAGATAATGACATGCTCTTTGACCCCTGACCATAAGAAGATCCGTAGTGAGAGGGTTAACATGTTGCCTTTTGAAATATGGTACACCACATCATAGATTTGTTGTTGTTGTATATTTATCAGCTGCTTTATAATTCTAGATCATTATACTTGAATATTATAATGTTTTTGTTTATATACTTATTACAGCCTAATCAGGCATTATTCTAAGTTGGGAGATAGCTGTCTTGATGATGCTCATATTTTGGATAGGTCTGTCAACAATTATGATGGATTCCAGCTTTAAATATAGACTGAAAATCTTATCTCAAAGTAGTAATTCTACCTGCAAGTATTCATCTTGAATATTATCAATAAACCAATCATACATCCAAGAATCCATCATTTCATAGGGCACTTACAGATAAAACAAGTGAATAAAGAACGTTTTCATTAGCACGAAATATTACAATGGTTTTCACTTTCCACATTATTCTTTTCAGGAAGTTGGCTTATAACACCCTTCTCTGTTCACTTATTCTGAACAAACATTAGTAGCAGTTTTTCATAGTTAATTTTTCTGGTAACTAGGTAGAAAGTAAAAAAGATAATATGATGTTCATTACTGCATTCGTTTTCTTGGGAAATAATCTCACACTACATTTAATATGCTTTCTGTTGTTGTTTTTTCTCTATGGATAAAGATAATAAATATGGTATTATGAATTCTGTGTCTCTAGAGGTGATTGCAGTCCTAAAAAGCATAACTAGAAATGTGGTACATAATTCAACAATACATGGTCTGGTAATATTAGAGTAGTCCTTGACTGGGACTTAAGCACTTTCACCCACAGAACTACTTATGGTCTTGCTGTTAACCATAGAAGATGAATCCATAACTGGTCTACTATCTGATAGTCTTTTTCTCACCTTCTGCAGAACTATTAATTTTACAATTCACAATTTAAGTTTATATTTTTTACACTAAAATATTGTTGTTTTGTGTGGTGGTAATCTTAGTATCTTACACAGCTGCAAGTCTGAAATCATAGCTTAAAATGCACTCTAATCTCCTTATATGACCACATTTTTGCATCTGCTATGTCTTCCAGAGTTTTCTGCAAGTTTATGTTAATTTTTATTTAATGCTTTAGAGTTCTACTATTGCCTATTTTTTGGTTGTGTACGGATGATTAATAATTTTCTCAAATAAAGTTGCTATCGTTAATAGAGATCTTTAGTTTTAAGGGGCAGAGCTAAAACATGAAGTGAAATACTTACTGTTGATTCTGAAATTACAGTGATCCTCGAGGATATACATTACATATCTCATTACATCTTTTATGTAAAATTTGTTAAAGAAATATTAACTGTAAATATATGACTATCTGATTCATTACTGATAGTTTCTTTCTCATAGTTCACAAGTTTTCAATAAATCACTTTTAACATAATTTATATAAATCTTGCGTCTACAAAAAATTCATCTTGTAAGTGAGTTGTAGTTTGATACTGCACTACAAGGTAGAAACCTCACAACGTATGTTCTAAAGCAACTTACCTTCCTTCCTACCCATACAGGAATACCAATAATAATGGCAGGAACAGCAATACCAGCTATCAAGGCAATTCCCACAGGGGCACCCACCAGCATTCCCAACTGCCACAAGATTTTCTTCTTTCGACTCCATGGCTTTTTGCCCCAAAATGTACAGCCTGATGGACTGTCAAAGTATAAAGAAGGGTTAATGATTCCTGCAAACTTTGGAAAACTTATTTCCTAAGAAACTGTATGACAAAAAGCAGAATTTTTTCTAGAACATAAATACAGAGCTTCGTTACTCCTTTAGATGTTTTTAATATCTACTGATAGGTGAAGCCGTTAAAATAATAAGTTATTTTAATGTTTCTACTTAGAAGTTAAAGCATTTACTTCAGGACAACGAAGTTTTTGTTCTGTCATATAATTACATTCAAATTTGTTTTACTTGCTTGATTTAATCTTTCTTTTCAGTTTCATATAGAAATATACGAAACAATACCCTCAAGTAAAAATTATAAAATGTTCTTTTATAAATGTGTGTAAACATAAGCAATTAAAACATGCACTAGGTAAGATGAAATTAAACAACAGAAATGTATTGTTTTAACTACACCTTAATTCTATAAAGAATAAACAGAAATTAAAGTTCTTAGCTTAATCTATATTTTACAATAATCTAAAGATAAATGCATTAATTCTCTTAGACGCTCTATAAATGAACAACAGGAACATACTGTTAAAATTAAAGTGTGACATTATAAGATATTTCTTTGAGTATGGTTATTATGAAAGAATAAGACAATGTGACTTCCTTACCTCAGGTAATGCAGATCTGTTATCTCATTCATACACAGCCAACAAAACTCCGTACCACAAACACTGCATGTCATGTGGTTGCATGAACCATCATCCATCTTGACGATTAATACCTTACAGCAAGGGCACAGCTTTATGTCTTCTTCTAAAAAAAGTTTATAAAACCTTGGATAATAATGTTTAAATAGTCATTTTTATATCATTAAACATAAAACCTGAAATACAATACACTTTGTGTGAGCTACTACCAGTAATAGTACATATAAATTATAATGACTTATGGTATAAAAACACTAGAAATTCCATAAATAAATGTTTAATTATATACTTTCACTAATTCTACAAACTTATGACTGAAAACAAAAAAGAATGTACAACAATATAACAATCACACTATATATGCTATATCTAGTACTGATGAGGCCTTTTGCTGAATATCAAGGTTTATCAGGCCAGCTGGGATACAACAGACATACTAATGGTTCAGATGCTATTTATATTACCAAACTGCATGAACCAAACTGATATGATAAGAACTGGATTAAGTTAATGATGTGCTATATCTAGTACTGATGAGGCCTTTTGCTGACTATCAAGGTTCATCAGGCCAGCTGGGATACAACAGACATACTAATGGTTCAGATACTATACATATTATCAAACTGCATGAACCAAACTGCTATGATGTGAACTCGATTAAGTTAATGATGTGTAATGTTTTTACACATACTAACAACATTTGGTATTATATCATCCAGCACAGAAATCAGTACTGATTCAGGACATTCAAGCTTGCTGACTTTTTGTTCTATATTTAATGTGACATACAATTACAACTAACTGTAATTAGAACCATACTGAAGGGACTCCAATTTACAAAATGAACAGAATGTCTGCAAGGCGCTCTTAATCAAGTATATTATAAAATGTTACACACAAATGTACATTAACTTTTTTGTTACTGCCTAAGTGGATAACACCAAACATGTGACCCCAAAGACACCATCAGAGTTTCCGTACTATAACTTTTAACATGTTTTGTGTATCTTCAAGAAATTTTTAAATCTTTTAGCAAACACTACAAGTCTTTTGTAGACAAAGTATCAACATTTTTAATCAAGTATTTTTACAACATATTTGTCCATGAATATATGAAGTCAGAGTGTGACTGCTCCGAGTGCAAAGTGATTTTCACGTTAAAATTAAAAATACTCCTCTTCATCTGAAAATTTTCAAATTGTATTTCCTTAATCTCTAAAACCTCATAAATAAAATTCAAATGTTTTTATTTCTGAAAAACTTTATACTTTATCTATTATTTTCTCTTTATGGGGTTGGTAAAATTGACCAACCTCATAACCACCATAAAACTTTAAAAGTTTAAAAATAGAAAATAAAGAAAGTAGTACTGTTTTATACTTTTTAAGTATTGACCATGAAGTTCCAAAGTACTTCCTTTGAAAGTTTCTACTTCTAACCTTTTCACATCTATTTCATATGTATATTTTACTGTTAGCAGCTGAAGTAGAAACCTGCTGATCATAAAGATAATGAATCACTTCTCCTGCCATTAGACTGTTTATGTGACACCATAATATGATACTGTCAACAGCAAATAAGCAAGTGCAGCACAAGTACCAGACCTTTCCCACAGAGTTTATCGTAATCCCAGCTCTGACAACACAGGGGATAGAATTTATCAGCTATTATGTTTAATCTACTTTTGAATTTCAATCTCAAAATTTAAATTTAGCGTTTGTACAGTTTACAGTAATTTACTTTCACTTGTATTTAACAACAGTCAAAATTAATCTGTGTAACGTTTATGTGAAAAAAAGTTACTTTCCTATTAAAATTTTGTTTCTTCAAAAATTTGATTTTCTTAAAACAAGTGGATCCTCCAAACATATCTATAGAAAACCAACTATTCTTGAAACACACGTGTACATACATGCCCATGCATACATATTGCAATACACCACTCTAGTTACTGTTACTAACTTCACTATCATTACAGTCTACCACCACCTACTTTGAATAATTGAGTCTTGGCTGAAAGACACCGAAGCAGAGCGTGGGTGAGGAGAATGGCGAGCTCTTTGAGCTCGTGCAGCATCACAAGTCTGGTTGGGATGCCACTCTTGCTTACAATGGTAACAAAAGTAGGTATCACAACCAGGTCGATCACACTTCAACTTAGGGCAGCTTGCACACCCAGTAGCTATGACAACATACCTATCAACAAAAGATGGATTTAGAACATTCAGCTTAGCAAGTTGTTATAGTAACTATCACTAAGGCTAATTTTAATATTGTAAGTGACATAAAGAAAGCTTGACCACTCACCCACAGTCAGGAGCAGGACACCATCTAGCATCTGGTTCAGTCACTAAAACCCGCCGAATCATGAAATCTTCATATTTTGCTATAACAATTTCATCGTTCAGGATCATTCGAATGTCATTTGGATGAAGAGGCTCAGTGCACTCTGGACATGAGATGTTTACTCTGTTAATAAAAAACGTTTTGAGAGCCTTTTACATTCACTAATATCTTACTACCTTGAAGTTATACAACTTACATTTGCCTGAAATATTATTAAAAAAGTCTTACCCAATATACCTTGGCTTCAGTGACTTTGTTCATTTATTTCAAATATTCATGCAAAGCTACACAAGACCTATATACATTAGACATAACTAATTTTTAACTGATAGACTAAAACGGATGGTAACTAGTCAACAGCATCTCCTGCAAACTATTAGGCTACTCTAATGGAAAAGTGGGATTTCGTCACTCTTATAATATGCCGATGGCCTTAAAGTGAGGAACTCGATTTTGTAACAACAAACTGTGAATCAGGTCCCCTCAGATTCACAGTCAAGCATGTTAATCACTAGGCCATGCCCAAACCAATCTTCAGTGGTAGTAACAGAAAACAAAATTAATTAGAAGACAGCTAACACTCATTGCTAGTGACTTATATTCTTCATTAATGATCTATTAAAATTTACTGTGCTGTAATATTATATTTGTATAACTTATATTTATAAAAATGTTCTATGATTGGCTTACTTCCACCAGGAAGTCTCCAAGTAGCAAAACTAATGATTATCATTAACTGAAGTCAATAGTTATTAGAAAAAGTTGATGTACATTACAAAACTTGAATATTTTATTTTAAGAACTAAGGATTAAATAATATAAAAACGTATGTAGAAAACTAGTAATTTAGAAGGACTTAAAAGTTATTTCATCTCTGCCACAAAAGCCCATTTGTTGTAGTATGTTTTAATATTTTAAAAATCTCCAAGTATATCACTCTTACATTTAAGTACTAAAACTCTATTTCTCGTTGGAGAGAGATAACGAATCTAAACATGAGATAGTTGACAGAATTCAGCTTAACCGTTTGTGTACATTGATCCAATAGACAGAGCTTACAATGGAGAATTAAGGTTTATTATAATTCTGAGTTCACTAAATGTATCTTCAAAAAATTTGGCAAGCTTTTAGTAAATGTGAAGTCTTTTGTATACAAAAAAATTTCAGATTTTTTAACACAGTATTTGGTGAATTTATGAAGTCAGGTTATTACTAGTATAAGTGCAAGATGATTTTCACGTTAAGAACAAAAATACTTTTGCACATTACACTTTTCATATTTCATTTACACATCCTCTGAAACCTCCTAAATGAATATCAAAGGTTTTTCAGTAAAACTTTATACTTTATCATTTAATTTTTTTTGTGGTCTACTTTAACACTAACTGTAGGAAAAACTGAAAATTATAAAATCAAATCAAAAGTACTTTTTTTTAAAATGACTGCAGATTGTAAAATATAATTACAATTATTTATTTTAAACAGCATCAAGGTCTTTAAAAGTTGCAAATCTGTTTACATTTCTTTTTTTTTTGTTATATTGCTCTTTGAACCATATCTAACTAGTAATGTAACAAAGCAGAAATCAATTGGCAAGAGCACAGCTCAAGTTATGGTGAACACAGTATCAAATTACATAATGCATGAGCAGCTTGGTAGGGTTGTTATTACTTTAATAAACTTTTACGTATTTCAAATATTCAATTTAGAACACAAAATAATAACATCCACAAAAAAGGTATAATGGTGATTTTTAAAGCAACATCACAAACAATATAAACTTTATTGGTAAATAACACAACTGCTAAAAGACATAACTAAAATGCAGTTAAGTTTTACCTCTCCTCACAATTCCACAACGTATCACAAAGTATGTATATCCAAGTTCTATTAAGTACATTCTAGCTCTTATATCTGAAAATAAAATTTTCATTAATGATGTCTGTATTTCTGAACTTTAGGTAGGAGAGCTAATAAATTGGCTGTGAATTTATTCAGATTTGTCACTTAGGGAAAAATGAAAGCAAACAAGATAGTATATTTCATTCACTACATTATCTTTAATGATGCAGTTCAGCTATCTATACGATATAAAAAACATGAAGAAATAAGAAATGTCTAATGTCAGAGATAAAATGTAAATCACTAAGTGTGTGTGAGCTTATACCTGCTTTCAGAAATCTCAATTTTGAAATATGTTTGCAAGCAGTTATAGCAGGCACGATGTGAGCATGAGCTTAACTCTGGGAAGCACTGGACTGGTAGCTCCAATAGACAGAAGGGGCATTCTAGCCGATCCATCCCTCTATCCTGGGTAGAATCTGGAACCACCTCACTCCGTGCACTAGACAAGGAGTTAGATTCTGAGTCTGAAGACTGACCAACTGCTGAAAGCCTGTAGGCCCCTTTAATACTTAATGAATCCTGCTGCAAAAAGAATTGAATATTAAGTACAATATCATTACATAGCAAATACTTTTTTACTGTAGACAAGATCATTATCAAACAATCAGAAGCACAGAAATATTTTTTGTTTTGAAAATATAAATTGTGTCTGTAAAGAAAGCTGAACATTAAGCAAAATAATGTGAACTGAGATTGTTACAAACCTTAAAACAAATGAACACAGAACATACACTAATGGTTAAATAATTTAATACTCACACTAAACTTACCCTGCTATATAGAAAATTCAATACTATATACAAGATCCTTGCAGCAGATCCTTGATATCCAAATGTTCTACATAAACTACAGGTACACATGTAATTATACTGACCAAGCACAAAACCAAATCTATTATACTATTGTGTTCTACATACACTCAAATCAAATCTTACATTTCTGTTAAGAGGGTGAGCACCCACAATACTGATTTCTGAACGACTGTCAGTTTCTGTCTGAACTGGTCGATGCCGCCCAGTTCCACGACGACCAAATGGATTGCTGTTAAAAATTCGTCCCAGAGAAAGCCGGCTGAAGCCATGTTTGCGGGGTCCAGGTGAAATACTACTACTAAATGGAGTGGAAGAGGCACTGGCCATAGTTATTTGAAAATAAGCTCCAAGGTCAAGTTGTAGAAAACGTGTTATAGATTTGACATGTTCTCCAGCCACTCTGATTTTAATGTTCACACCTACGAAAAAGCAAAATCATCAGTGGTATATACAAATAGATATATGCATATTTAAAACCACTATGTAATTGACTTTCTGAAAATTAAAAATTATTTTATCAAGTTAGATTCTTTCTTAATTGAAATTATAAATGCATGAAAAAAGGATAAAAGCAAAATAAGACCATTTTAAACAATGTCCAGAAAATAGCAGATAGTGACAGAAACACATTATGAGACTTTTTCTTCCTTCAGTAAATGATGCACAGAAAGTAAACAAAGAACACTACAAAAGACAGAATGTCTCCTTACTCCCGAGTGGAATGTGGCTAGCAGGAAATATAAAACTAGATGACTTTCTTACACTACTTCTAGACAAGAAAGTGGTTGGAGTTAAAGTAAAAACTAGATGACCTTCCATTTCAATTCTTATTGAGTGAAATGGCTAGCAGACAATGTAAAATTAGACAACTTTCTTCTGCTACTTCTGGTCAAGAATTGTTAGCAGGCAATGGAAGACTAGAAGACCTTCTTACAGTACTTCTGGAAAAGAAGTGCTAATAGGCAATGTAAAACTAAATACCCTTCTTTCAGTACATCTGGAAAGAAAGTGGTTAGGAAGCAAAATAAGAACTAGACCTCAAAACAAGTATTTCTCTTTTTACGTCACAGTGAAAACATTGTTGAAAGAAACTGTTTAAACTCTGTTTACACTAATACAATGTAGTTCTACACTAAACTGTTAGGAGTTATCAATTCAATGCTAGTATAGTTTGCATCTTCTAAATCATAACTGTGGAGTAACATGTCATGTTCATTTAAAAATTGTTTCTAATTATGCATTTCAAAAAAGAGTGTTGTTCGACAATACAAATATAGTTGTTGTTCAAAGTGAGTTACAATTTTGGCAATCTGTTTTGCAGTTTTATGAAGACTAAACAATAATTTTTTCAAGAGAGCATAAGATAGCTTACTTGCCACTGTTACATCTCTAGAAAGAAATTGTAGGTTATAAGTAACCCTATCTAGGTTGGTAAACTTATCAAGATAAGAAAGAAATTCAAAAACTTTTCTTTAATAACCAACAGCCACATTTAACAGAACTAAAGCTATATGTTATAATGACATGGTGAATAGCAAATAAACTGGATGGATATTTATAATACAAGCGGTATCATGCAAAAATTATTATTTAATTAACACAGTGTCCCAGAATATACCAAAAAGAAAGTTAAAAACTTCTATATTATTTGAGATAACAACAAAATTCAAAACAAAATATCTTCTAAAGACTTGTAAATTTTATTTAAGTTAATTATTGCTTGTATTACTTACATTATTATTTATGAATGTGTTTTATTGCAGATTTCAGAACTAACTCTGTTTTTTTTTTTTTCTAATGAAATGACAACTCCTGAAGAGTTCCCCCAATTTCACCCCTTTGGACTTATTTGGGGTTCTTTGAAAACAAAAATCTACCATAAACTGAAACTTCATATCCTTGATGCTGTTTTATCCATCCCTACAGTTGTGTTGGAAATGTGTTCTCAGAATTTGAATGCAGAATTAGACTGATTTTAGCTAATGTAATATGTAGAAGTTTATTTATTAAATTAAATAAAACTTACAAGCCTTCAGATCATAATTTGTTTTTAATTTTGTTGCTATCTCCAATAATACAAATTTCATTCAACTTTCTTTTTGGCATATGCATTTTGACAAACCTTATATATGTATATCCGATGCTATTTCCAAGTTGGCTTTGCTTAGCATTAAAAACCAGGTATAATGATATCTATTTATGTAGCAAAATAAATTGTTCAGTCATACAGTTATCAAGTTTACCATTTACAAATTATAAAAGAAATTTACTGCTCAAAGTAAAAACAAAATAAACTTAATAATATATACTGACAAAATAGACAATCTTTTCCCCATTAGTAAAAATATTTATTACATTTCCTGATGTTTTGACTTTCTTAACATAAGAATATAGCAATACACAAAACAGAACACTTTTCTTACATGAAAATGTTGTTACATACATATATATAAATAACAATGTTTAGGGACAACAAAGGACCTATTGATCCATCTTGGCTGTCCCATCCTCTAAACTTTTCTTTTAGAAACTAAGTTTGGAAATGGAAGAATGTTGGCATGCCTTTAGCATGTTTTGCTATGCAGTGTTTGCGGCAACATTCAAATAAAAGATTCATTACATAACAATTTTTTTAGGCATCAGTTTATATTTTTCACAGCAACTGGACCTGAGAACTGAATAAGTACTATTATCTTAATATCTTATCTGTTGGACAAGTAGACTATCCTGAAACTAAATTTTATCAAACTATTTCTACAAAAATCTGTTTTTATAAACAGTTGAATTGAACAAAATGTAAGAAATTATCAGCAGTGTGTTTCAAAGATGTAGGTCAACTGAAGACAGACTTTTACACAATGACATTACAATTAACTACGTAGCACCTTGGACACAAGGTAGAAGTCTATTTGGCAATACACCAATTAGAATATTTACTTGTAATTATGATAATGTCGAATACTTACAAATAATAGCATAAAGTATTATCTAAACAGACTGATGTTGGATTCTCTCAGTGGCTACAGTAATATGTAGCTTTCTTAAAGAAAAGTTTAAGTTTTTACCCTACAGGTAATTTAAATTTGGAACTCTTGAATATATTTAGGTATTTTAGACATTAGCTATTTAGTAACATCTTTCTGATAAAAATAAAACTAGAATAAGGCCTTTTCATAACATAAGCCCAACTTTATTGAAAGTGAGCATAATTTTACAAGCAACCTTGCATTTCTTTAGGGATTTTTCACAGATAACCCTTTATTGTGGACATTGTTAGAAACTGATTGAGAAATGCCATTCAGACTGGGATAGACAGAGGGAATGTTATATTTAAGATATAAATGTTCAGAACTCCTGGAGTAAAGCAAGAACTTTGCTAATGACTTGAATTTCATACATATGTGAACAGTTCCTTGAGTGTCACACTAAAAGATAGTTATGGGAGTGCTTTAATCAGATGTAAGCACAGAATGTTTATTTACATACCTTTTTTTTTATAACCATTGTGTGACGATAAATGAAGATATTCTGCACATGGAAGATAGCTGTTTGTCACCTGTACACTCTTATTATAAGTTGTCCTTTTGAAGGTTTATCCCAAAACTTCAGCAGTAAATATGCATAGTTTTCAAGTGCTCACACAAACCCTGCTTTCCATGTAGTGAAGAATATTTTAAATTGAGATTATCAGATTCAATTGAATTAGATTCATCTTTCTTTTACATCCTACAGTCATAATAACTTCCTTCCACTTATACTGCAAAGTTTCTATCATCTGTGTCTAGAAGTTATATGAGATGTGTTGGTTAACACAAATATTAAGTAAAACCTTCCTCGAAAGCAGTGAATTCCTCTGTTTTTCCTTCTTCTCTGTAAGATTTATTCATATGCTGTGAGAGGAGGAGCCACACAAAGAAATTACTTCATAAATAGCATAATGACCTATAAATACTGTATCAAAACATTTCACAAGCACCACTTAAGTCTTTCCATGAGTTATGATGTCATCAAAGTACTTTAGCTAAAATAAATATCCTTTGATAGTCCTATCAGAATAAACACTTATTTTATTGAATAGTTCAAATTGTAGAACAAAAAACTGGCACAGTCTCCTGCTTATAGTAGAGCTGTGTGATTAGTGAAATTTGCTAACCAAATAACTGTCTGGCTCATTAATCAATCATTCTCACATAAGACTTATATAGTTGTAATAATAAAAAGTAGATTATAAGCACTAATTTTGATTAGTTGATAACTTTCATGAATCAGGATACTAATAGATTAAGTTGAACAATGAAAGTAATAATGAGAAATCTAATGGAAATATAGTGATTACTTGGAATAGTCGAAAACAGTAATAACTGGAAACAATAGTATTGATTAAGTTATTATTTCTATTAAGTTATTCCTTTCTATTTGGCATCAGATGGATCACTAAAACAGTGACAAATATGTGCCAAAACAACAGTTTCAAATCTATAATGTACCTTTTTTTTTATTCAACGTTGATTACTGGGTACACTAATGGTGTGTTACAACAACACTCAATAATCAGGTCATGAAGAGTCGTACATGTATGTCATTCTGTAAAAATCCTTCACACCTTTTGTGAGAAGGCAGGACTTCCTCTTTAGATCTTAAGCATGCTGACAACGAGTCTTTACTTTATACTATTATCTCTATTCTCCTTGATATAACAAACTTTCCACAGCTTCAAAATTTGGCAATTTCATTCATTTTTACATTCAGTTAAATAATCTTTCACTTTTGTAGATCTTACAAGAATATAATTAATTTTCAGGCATACTAAACATTATATCAATACTAATTGTCCTTAAGATTTCACTATCTCAAATTCATATTCCAAGCTGTTTATCAACAGCTTTGATGGAGTAATGCTTCATGGTGAGCTGAACAACTTCCCTACAAGTTGCAATTATGAAATTATTATGTGGTATTGAATCCTGTTTCTTTTGAGGATTTCTTGACTAAAGAGGTGTTCTTCTTAAAGTTTTCAAAATTTTTTCCTTTCTTCTTCATTCTACTAGTGATACCTCAACCAGATAGGTCAGAGGTTCACAACCTGTCATCCATGAACCCCCTGGGGGGCCTCAATAGTATTTAAGGGGGTCCGCAGTAATACATCAAATTTATGAAATTACCATATACTGAAAGAATAATGAATAAAACAAAATGTGAAGTTTCTCTCAACTTGCTTATATAAAATCAAAGTATAGAAATAAAATAAACGTGCAGCCGGAACCTTGGTTTGAAACTGTCAGACACTGACCCAGAAATCTGCAAGATTTTTTCAGCAAAGTAGTATCATCCTTCACATTAAAGTCAATTGTAAAAATTTTTTTTTAATTTTCCATTTTAAATATCTTTGCAATATTCTTTTCTTAAAACTAGAATCAAGCTGTAAAGGTGGTCTGCCAATACAGTAAAGAAGTTGAAGGGGATCCACTGGTTGGCAAATTTGGGAACCCCTCTGATAGATCATTTCAAAATTAATGGAAAAAGTAAATACCAATGATAGTAATCATGTAAATATTCTGAGCTTAGTTTCTAGGTTAAAAGAGCTGGACCTTTCAGTCAAGCAGCACAATGGACAAATTACTCTCCATAATTCCATTTATTTCCCATAGAAATAATTTCTAACTAGATCTTATATGTTTTAAAAAGGATGAAAATGATTTTGTGAATCCTGTTGTTTCAATAATTGTTGCAGTCAAGTAGTTTGTTGTTGGATAAGAAGATGTAATAATATTGTTACAAGAAGCAAATCTAAGAAAACTGGAATACCAGAAGTTTATCCTGAGGCCCCAAGAGGAGTAGTCAATGTATAGCCTGCTGTTTCAGGTTTAAAGGTCAAGATAATGTAACCTGCTACCAATTATTCCTGTACACTGGATAAAATAAATTAAGGCTGTCTGAATTAGTCCAGCAACAAGTCCACTCTGTCTGTATAGGGCCTCTTACAGCAGTGTTAATTTTGGAACCCACTTACTTCTATTTTGTGACAATTAGTCATCTTCAAATTTCTTATAGAGCTATGAACTACACATCAAAGACTATTAACCTCACTCTTTGATTTACAACTCCTTCAACTCCATTCCTTCATGACTCTTTCAAACTTTCTTGTACGTCATTTACTTCATGACTCTTTCAAACTTGCTTGTATGTCATTTCCTTCATTACTCCTATTGTATTCTGTACATTATTAAACTTTTCTTACATCTCCTTATAATTCCTTCAATTGCACTTTTTGCAATGGAATTTGTCATACGTAATACAGCCTTCTAAACATTAATGTTACATTTATCTTTAAACTGCTGATCTTGTTGTGCTAATTTCTTTCCAAGCTCTTCATGTTCCTTGTCATTACCCTTCAAAATCCCACTAATTTTCACTTCTAGTTTATTCCAGCATTTTTCCAAGTTGCTGGTGATAATCTTATTTTTGTTGCACCAATTTTTCTATATTTTTTATGACAATCTCTGTTGCTTTCTTTCACAAACTTTCACACTACTGTTAAAAGATCTTTAAAAACACTCTATGTTGCAATACACCTCAGACTTATGGTACAAATTTTAACTTTCATTTCATTCACTAAACCTTAGTGTGTAATACATAAGAGAGGAATTTTAACCTATTAGATTCCCATCTAGCTAACAATTTAGTAGAAAATTGCAAATAATTAACTTGTAACTAAACTTAAAGTCCAATCATGCAGCATGTTAAAGTTTTACTTCTAGGTATTTAACCCTCTCACGTATCTAGCTTTTTTTGGAAATGAACTAAAAAATCAGTTTTTATTCAGTTTTGATAGCCTATAATTATATATATCAATGAACCAAAAGTTCTTTTATGATATGTTATTATATATTTGCACAAAATATACTCAAAAAATGAATGTTACATGTTTAGATTTATACAGAATATATACTATTTCAATGAAACTACAGTAAAGAACAGAAATACTTTTCTCCAGTGGTTATGATACACAATTCAGAATAAATCTAATAGAAATCAGTAAAAACAACATTTTCAATGCCATCTAGTGAGCATTGATTGCAATACATTATAACATGCTAATAAATTTAGGCAAAAATTAAAAATACAGTGAGAAATTTTTGGAAACATGGATGGTGCCAGTTATCTTGGGCAAATTATGGAAGGAGTTAAATATGCAACTTATCTCAAAACCATCATGGTCCCAATTATGCCAACTTTCAACCTTACTGAACTATGTAACTTAAAAGCCTACAGATAAACAATATTTACTGCAAAGCCTACAAAATGGTAACCTAAATTAATTAATTACTTATTTGCATTATGATAGACTGTCTAGAATACAGATGCATTTAAATATAATATCTTCTGGTGCACCAAATATCCAATGCAGAACTCACAACATACTATATGACAGGGTTTTAAGAAAATAATAAATACGCGTAAAGCATATTTTTAGTTTTACATTCATCCTACTTTTCCTATAACGGCCTGGCTTATCAATGAACATTCCCCTTCCCGCTGATACACGCGTGTAAATGTTGATTCATATTGTACCATCCTTTGGTCTGCTGATTGATTCAATTTTTCAGTTAACTTATATAACGCTCTATTCAAACTACACCGACGATTTTTAGACCTGTCTTGACCACCCACCTCATAACCTATCCTATTTACTTATACTGATTGTGTAAGTGTTAGATAACACACTTATTTTACATCGTACAAAACCAACTTTTAAAACATTAGTACCAGAAACACACAAAATTATTACATAATTTCATGTAGGAAATTCGATTACGATTATGAGAGTGAAGAAAACACAATGCAATCGTTGTAATGGTTAGCACGCTATTAACAATTAGACTTGGGCCATAGGCTACTAACCACGACACCGGTTGATATCCAATTGCAACAATCTTACTGTCAATGCTTAAACACAGCATAATTCACTGAAAATTCTATTCAGATGACGAATAAAAAACAGTATTTACTTGTTTGCGTACTTTCTATTGCAGAATTTATTTTGTTTGGGATACTTCTTACAGCAATTCTACGAATAACCAACGATCCCTACTTTCAGTTAATTTTTTTTTCATATTTATATAATAATAATAATGTTCCATTTTAATAGCTTACATGTTAGTCTCATGGCAATAGATTTATTTACTTTCAATATTTTGACAAATACTGATAGCTTGTGAAAACAAAACAAGTTACAGAGATTTTACTAACTAGTAACTTATAATAAAAGCTTACATGCTAACCTCGTAGCAATATGTAATACTTTGACAAATACTTACTTACAGTTACATATCAACTGTAATAAAGCCGCTGTATATTAACCAGACATAGGACCAATACTTTTGTTTGAACATTCAACTCATTTCACACCTAACCTTAACATAACTTTATGGCACATTCGCACTTAAATTTGGAATTACGTTTAAAACTGAAAAACTTTATGCTGACGTCGATTTGTTAAAGAATAACAACAGATCGTATAATAAATATAGGTAACATTCGCTACACATAACCTTCAACGTTAACCGCAATTGGGTCAAGGCTCAAGCTACGTATATTTAAATCATCTTCAACCATACACATACGTTCATTTTTGTGGATAGTTTCAGGTACACTGGCAACAGTAAAGGCTTGATAGGGAACAAATCAGTAAGACATGTGTCTCGTAAAGCGATTTAAAAAAAA